CAGGGTCAGATGGCAGGCACCTCAGGAAAGCAGCCACTGGCCCCCAGCCTGGGATGGGAAGCACTCGGTGCTGGTCCAGAGATGGCGCCCAATCTAGGAAAAGCCACGCACTGAGGCCACAGGGCCTAGGCGTTGGCAAACTTTGGCCCTTCCCAGAGAGCCAGGGCCTTCCCCTCGACAAAGCTTTATTTAACAACCCCTGATAAAGCAGGCCACTGGACAGACTGGAAGCCAGAAAAGAGAAAAAGCATATTTTCAATTCTCTGTATTCTATCCCACTAATCAGGATACCCCAGACATTCACTCTGGACTCAGGCTCAGCTAGAGATAAGAGGGGAGTCAAGTGCGGTCTTTGTCCTAGAAGGGACCTTGGACTTCAACGGGAGAGACGTTGCTCATTCATATCCCCCTCCCTCTCTCTTTCTCTCTCTCTCTCTCTCTCTCTCTCTCTCTCTTTCATTCAACTTATTGAGCACCTCCTCTGTGCCAGGCACCATGCTATGAACAAAAAAGACACAGCCTCTGCCCTGGCAGAAATGACACCGTCTCTGAAGACGCAGACGCTGAACAGATAAACCCACAATCACACGTATCACTACACACTGGGATAACTTGTGGGCAAAAATGGTAGGAGAGGAAATAACAGGAAATACTTCAGTGGGGATTGGGGATTGCTTTTAGACACATAGACTTCAAGCCATGACATACGCCTGTCATGCCAGTGGCTTGGGAAGCTGAGGCAGGAGGATCGTGAGTTCAAAGCCAGCCTCAGCAAAAGTGAGGCACTAAGCAACTCAGTGAGACTCTGTCTCTAAATAAAATACAAAATAGGACTAGACTGAGTTATCGAGGGCCCCTGAGTTCAATCCCCAGTACCAAAAAAAAAAAAAGAAAGAAAGAAAAAGAAAGAAAGAAAGAATCAAGACTTCAAGGGCAGTAGTATGAGCATATAAAAACTTACTTCTCATAGTGAGATATCTGGAGGTAGTGGCTGCTGGAATTCATTCAGCAATTCAAGAATGGTAGAATGGAAGTCTGCATTGTTCTTTATAGTCCCAAGGTGGTTGCTGGAGTATCAGCCATTACATGTGTATTCCAAAACAGAAATCAGAAGGCATCCTGCCTTCACACATCCTGTATGTCAAACCTCCCTCGGCCTTCTGCTCATAAGGATACATGTGACTGTGTTTGGGAGTCTACCCTGACAGCTCAGAATAATCTCCCTATTCTAAGGTGCTTAACTTAATCTCATCTAAAATATCATCCTTTTTCCTAATAAGGTAACATCCCCAGGTTCCAGGGATTAGGGCCTGATATACCTGCTACAGAAGGTACCAACAGCATCTGTTCCTGGGTACTTCATTTAACCCCCCCGGGGGGGGGGCAGTCAGAGAAAGTCTTGCTAAGGAAAAGATGCATCCTCAAGTTGGAAAAGACGAGTGGGGTTAGGGTAGGGAACAGTGTCCTAGGGAGAGGGAACAGCACATGCAAAGGCCTGAGTGAAAAAGCTGGCCATGTGGCCAGTGGGGCTGGCAGGAGGGTCAGAAAGATGAGCTGGGACCCAAGAGCAAGGAAGCCATATTGGGAATTTCTGTCTTTATTCTAAGCATAAGGAAGAGCCCTAAAAGCTCTTACATGGGGCATAATGACAACATGGTCTCAGATTTACAAAAGATTACTCAGGGGTGAGGCCTGGTGGGCAGCCAGAGACTACATTGTAAGGAGCAGTGGATTGCAGGGACACCAATCCAGGTGAGACACGCAGACAGCTTGGCCAGGGTGGTGGCTGGGGGTGGAAGCAGTGTTCAGGGAGGGCCTGGGGCTTAGGGATAGATTAGACAAGACAAGGGTTGCACCCTCACCATGAGGATTTGAGGCTGTCTTTATTTTTTGTTATTTGTTTTATTTTATTGGTGTGTGGGTGGTACCAGGGATTGAACTCAGGGACACTCCCCCACTGAGCCACATCCCCAGCCTTATTTTGTATTTTATTTAGAGACAGGGTCTCCCTGAGTTGCTTAGTGCCTCGCCTTTGCTAAGGCTGGCTTCGAACTCATGATCCTCCTGCCTCAGCCTCCCAAACTGCTGGGATTATAAGTGTGTGTCATCACTGTGCCCGGCCCATCTGGTGAGGTCAAGGACAAAAGTCT